ATAATCATTTGATTGACATTACTCGTTGGCTCACGGTATTCTAGAAAAACAGGGTAAAGAATGAGTAAAGGATTCCGTGAAACATGCAACAGAAGTAATTCCAATGAGAATTACGTACATCAAATAATAAATAAAAATGTCCTTCAATATATATGATGGGACAAGGAGCATTAAAAACACATAACTGATTTTTTATATGTGCAAAAAATGTGGAATATATATAAATATACATGTATATTTATATATATATATGGTTCACCGTAATGGGTCTTGCTAGCCTAAGATTTATGCAATTGTTTCAACTGTGATTGCGATCCTTAAGTCATATTTATTTATGCTAACAAATGGAACATTTTGTTCCGAGTTCAAAATTTTGTATGTTTAACGATTCCGCATCCTACGTTATACATCACAACTTCATGAATTTCATAGGCTCTTTTCACAGAAAAACACTCTTCTCATAGAAATATAGAGAATATTCAAGTGCATGCAAGTACATACAAATAGGTGTATATTGCACTTACAAATATTTTTTATGATATGACGTAAGCTATAGGTTGCAAAAAATTGCTGATTATTATTGTTGTAAATAATACCTGGTTTTCAGGAATATACGAGGGTGGTCCGATAAGTACTTAGCCTACAAAAGAAAAACGAAAATTTTGGAAAAGTGGCGATTTATTTCTCAACATAGTCTCCTTTTAGCTCGATACACTTGACCCAGCGATGCTCCAACTTCTTTAACCCGTCTGAAGAATACGTTTTCTCGAGGTCTGCAAAGTAGGCCTCCGTGGCGGCGATGACCTCCTCATTCGACTCAAATTTCTGCCCAGCGAGTGACTTTTTCAAGTTTGGAAACAAAAAGAAGTCGCACGGGGCCAAATCTGGAGAATACGGTAGATGGGGCAGCAATTCGTAGCCCAATTCGACCAATTTGACCGTGGCGAGGACGGAGGTGTGAGCCGGTGCATTGTCATGGTGGAAGAGCACTTTTTTCTTCGCCAAATGAGGCCGTTTTTTCTGCAATTCGGCGTCGAATCGGCCCAGTAATTCGGCATAGTACAGCCCTGTGACCGTTTCGCCCTTCTCCAGGTAGTCGATGTAGATCACACCTTGTGAATCCCAGAAAACGGTGGCCATCACCTTTCCGGCCGATAGGACAGTATTCGCCTTCTTCGGAGCATGTTCGCCGGGTGAAGTCCACTGTTTTGACTGTTCCTTGGTCTCTGGTGTGTACCAGTGGATCCATGTTTCGTCGACGGTCACGAAACGACGCAGAAACTCCTTCGGATTGCGCTTAAACAGCGTCAAACACTGCTCTGAAGTGGTCTCACGGTTGCGCTTGTTGTCCGGAGTGAGCAAACGCGGCACCCATCGCGCCGACAGCTTTCTCATGCCCAAAATTTCATGCAGGATATGACCCACGCGGTCTTTTGAGATGCCTACTGTCTCAGCTATCTCGCACCTTCGATCGGCGGTCTATCAATACGAGATCGTGGATTTTTGTCATGTTATCCTCCGTGGTAGCCGTTTTCAGAGTACCTGGGCGTGGCTCATCAAAAACCGACGTGCGACCACGTTGAAACTCGTTAAACCAATTTTTGACGGTCGCCATCGAAGGAGAAGAATCACCGTACAGCATCCAAGCGCTCTTTGATTTCGCTGCGCGATTTCCCTTCCAAAAACAAGAATCGAATCACCGACCGATATTGCTCCTTTTCCATTTTTCTAAAATCCGCGGACACAACCACTTCCACACGCGGTCAAAACAAAACTACGAGTCCGATTCGGCTGAAATTTCGACAGTAGCCGTCTACGAGAATGTACTACACAATAGTAAATTTCTCTTGCGATAGTGGCGCCATCGGGCGATGAGGCTAAGTACTTATCGGACCGCCCTCATATGTAAATATATTTTCATTTTATAACTGTGTTGTGTGTATAACAGTTACAGAAAAAATTTGATATGACCTACGAAAAGAAAAATTATGTAGGCAGGCGCGGGAGGGCCTCCCAAACATCGCGCCAGAGGTAAGTCACCGTGGGGTTTTAGCCGGTAAGAGTCCGGCACTACCCCGGCAAGGAGGCGGGGTGTCCATGAGAATTTCCCCACGTAAAAAAAAATAAAAATAAATGGAAAGAAATGTAACGCCGATCTACATGCAATGTTAATTCATGCAAGACTATCGACGCAGCGAGTCGAAATCGATTGATATTAGTTGTCCTCTCGTCGAATCCACGCCGAAAGACAAACATCAGCCTCGGCTGCGTGTCGAGACAGAGCGGGATGGAGCGAACACATTCTCTGTCACTCTTTTGCTTGGCTCGTCGAAACAAGTCGAGCGGAGGACGGGGTCTCAGACGAAGTGTCATAGACGAAACGTGCAATGCTTGCGATGCCCGTATGTTGTATGCAACACGTGCATTTTTTTAAAAAATGAAAATAAATTGTTTGTAATACACGTATGTCGTATGCAACACGGTCATTTTCCTAAAAAATGAAAAAAAAGATTGGCGAAAAAAGATAACGCTGACCGCCAAAGAGACACGAACCACCGACCTCGAACCCCGCGAGCCTAACGCACTTCCACCAAGCCACACGCTCTTTAAGAAACCTGCTCCTTCATTTGGTTCATGCAGCACTCGCGATTTTCAATCGCGATTTTCTTGCAAACGCTTCGATGCTACGCCGTATCTTTAAGTGCAATGTTAATTTGTCCGGCAAATCTATCGACACAAGTTCGTTCGAAAACGATTGCTACTGATCGTCTCGTTGAATTCACGCCGAGAGGAAAACGTCAGTCTCGGCCGTCTGTAGGGAAGCACAAGCTCGGCAACGTTGCGAATCAGAGCGAGATGGAGCGAACACATTCCCTCTCCCTCTCTCATTCTCTGCCTCTCTCCTCCTCTCCCCCTTTCCCTTCTCCCCATCCCACTCTCCCTCTCTCCCTCACACCCTTTCTCCCCCTCACCCCTCTCCCTCCCACCCTTTCTCCCCCTCACCCCTCTTCCTCCCAACCTTTCTCCCCCTCACCCCTCTCCGTCCCACCCTTTCTCCCCCTCACCCTTCTCCGTCCCACCCTTTTACCCCTCACACCTCTCCCCCACACCCTTTCTCCCCCTCACACCTCTCCCTCCCGCCCTCCATCCCTCCCCCCTCTCCCTCACTCACTCCCCCTCTCCCATCTACCCCTCCCCTCCACAATCACTCTTCCTCCCTCTCCCCCTCTCCCCCTTCTCCCCCTCTACCACCCTCCCTCTTCCACCCTCTCCCTCCCAGCTCTCCCTCACCCTCCCACTCCTCCATCTCCCTCCCTCTCTCTCCCTCTCTCTCCCTCTCTCTCCCTCTCTCTCCCTCTCTCTCCCTCTCTCTCCCTCTCTCCCTCTCTCTCCCTCTCTCTCCCTCTCTCTCCCTCTCTCCCCTCTCTCCCTCTCCCCCTCTCCCTCTCCCCCTCTTCCCTCTCCCCTCCCCCTCCCCCCCTCCCCTCTCCCCTCTCCCCTACCCTCTCTCTCTCTCTCTCTCTCTCTCTCTCTCTCTCTCTCTCTCTCTCTCTCTCTCTCTCTCTCTCTCTCTCTCTCTCTCGCTCTCTCTCTCTCTCTCTCTCTATTTCGCTTGGCTCGTCAAAACAAGCCGAGCGGGAGGCAGGACCTGAGACCGATAGACGGGAGCAGTTTCTCTCAATGTGTATGTGTGTACCGCCTATATTCTTACACAGAAATGTACCGTAATAGAAAACGTTTAAGCATATATCCTGAGACTCTATCTGTTGCGTACGACACGTGTGCGCGTGTGTGTGTGCGTGGCGTGTACGTATGCGCGCGCGCGTGTGCGTGTGTGTGTGTATGAGTACGTATGTACACACATACGTCACGCACACTTTCAATGCAACACATGCACACGGACACACTGCGCTAAAAAACGTCTGCCGGAGTATAAGTAAATACTAAGATAACGCTAAAATATTTTGGAAAAATAATTTTGGGTACACACAAAATATTATCTTATTATCATATATATATATACAGGGTGTTTGATAGCCGATCATGCAGACGAAAGTTGGAGATAAATTGGGTGTAGCCGAGAAGAAAAGTCATGTACCATAATGTCAAATTGGCAATAATTATCGAGTTATTAATTAAAACATGTGGGCCAACGAGCGTGTAGAGAGCGGAGGGCGACCACAGTAAGCACATAGACATTTGATACAGGCGGAGTCAGCGAGTGATGGTAGGCGAGCGCGCGCGGCGAGGGGCAACGTAACCAACAAGAGGCGAACGCGCGCGACGAGGAACGAGCGAGCGCGAACGACGAGGAGCGAGCGAGCGCAAGCGACAAGAGGCGAGCGAGCGCGACGAAGAGTGAGCGAGCGCGAACGACGAGGAGCGAGCGAGCTATAAGGAAAAAGCTATAAAGAAAAAGCTCGCTCGCTCCTCGTCGCGCGCGTTCGCCTCTTGTTGTTTACGTTGCCCCTTGCCGCGCGCGCGCTCGCCTACCGTTACTCGCCGACTCCGCCTGTATCAAACGTCTATGTGCTTACTGCGGTCGCCCTCCGCTCTCTACGCGCTCGTTGGCCCATATGTTTTAATTAATAATTCGATAACTATTGCCAATTTGACATTATGGTACATGACTTTTCTTCTCGGCTACACCCAATCTGTCTCCAACTTTCGTCTGCATGATCAGCTATCAAACACCCTGTATATCGATATAAATCGTATATTATCTTCATGATATTAATCATATACAATCTCAATTCTTATTTTTTTGTGCATGTTAACATGTTAATTCATGTTACAAATGCATAACAATGCGCGAGACCGTGCTTGTCAAGTACGCTATTATGGTTGTAGCACGGACATAAACCGCCTGAAAATGGATATAGCACGGACAGCCACCAGATGCAGGTTTTACCGCCGAGACCTAAAAGTGGATGTAGCATCGTAGTTCCCCTCTCAAAATGGATGCAGATGGTGCCCATTTCCAGTGCGAAAAATCAGTGTCGCCGAAAACGTCGTGTTGGCCGCTCTCTGGTTCCTCTCTGGTAATATCTATAGCAGTTTGTAACCCCTGGCTGCGAAGTGAAGTCTTTATTTGGGTTAAATCAATGCTTTTATTGCGTGTCATTTTTATTGTAAATACAATGAGTAATAAAGATAGAATTGTACTTTAATGCTGATATATAGCACGCTCTCCGAATGCAACTGAAACGTTGCAGTGAATGGTTTCCAGTATAAAATGTAGCTACCTGTTTTTTCTCGTATATATTAATTTATTGAATCACAATGGAGATGAATAACGAGGAGGAAGATGAAGATGTTATAATAAAAGTATGGTAATTTTGTCTTATAAAGATTTATGAGACATAACTTTAGAAGGATTGCATGCTAATATAAATAGTCATACTTATAGACATACATCTACATTATTACACACAATCATAAGTTATTTTATTTCGCTGAATAAAAAAGGGTAAACTAAAAAATCAACTCTTACAATTTTGTTTTCTTTAAAAAAGATATTAAAGTCAAAATATATTTTATTTTTCTTTATTCTGCTTTGTTTCTTATTTTGATAAAGTAATTCTTTCAATTTATAAATGTGTTTTAATATTATAATAAAGAAAAACGCTCTAATATCAAATCAAACAAAATAAGCAAGGTTATAAAAGCCAATAACTTTAATGATACTTCCTTTTTAATTGTAATAAAATTTATCATGAAAGAGTCTATTTGTTTTTGAAGAAAACTTAACTGTTAAATTAGTGCAATAAGTTAAAATGAGTAAAACAAGTAAAACAACTATACTTTCCTTCATTCTAACTTATTGTATTAGTGTTTACTAATTTAGAAGTTTTTTAAGAACAAATATCTATAATAAAAGAAGAAATAATAACCATTATTATTTTTGAAACAACGTAGTCTGATTTATATTATAGTATAATGCTCTTTTCAGACACACAAAAGTATCAATATATAGTTAAAAATATATGGAATTTTAATATTAATATATATTATATTATATACATATTTCATAATAACAAACTGATATTTTGTAATATTATTCACAATGTACAAGGTGTTTCAGGAATATGTGGCCAAACTTTAAGAGCATATTTTACTCATCAAGGAAAAAAAGTAACATAAACATAAAAATGTTTCTTTTCCAATTTATAAACACCTTTTATTAAGTATATTTCTAGCATATTTCAGTCACATTGCTCATAAGTTTCTAAATAATAATAACACCAATAAATAGAATGGCATAGGAGGATCCACCATTTATCTTGCATAGTCTCCTGATTGAAATCCCTTGGATTTTTATTTATGAGGATATCTTAAGTTTGAAATTCTCTCAATTATGAAATTCCTATTGCTACTATGGAGATACTCCGAGATTATGTTATTGCCTCATGTAATAAAATATAAAATATTCTGGAATTCTTGAATGTCTACAATACATGAGACGTTGATGTAAAGTATATATTGATGCAGGAAAAAAATTATTTTCTACAATTTTTTTAATGAAATGTTTTTACTAAATGTTCTTACCAAAGTCTGTTGTAAATAAAAAATGTTTATAATTATAAAAAGTATTTCTGCATCTATTATTTATGACTTTTTTTTCATCTTTATAGTGAGTAGAATATGCTTAATTAAAATAATATGCTAACTTAAAATTTGACCACTTATTTCTAAAACATTCTATATACAGGGTGTCTCATTTTAATGTTCCACTCCAAATAACTCTTCAATATTGAAGTTTCAAGGAAAATAATCTAAATAAAAGTTGTAGGGATTTAAGTGAGCTACCTTATGACGACCTTGACTTTGACCTTGACCTCTATTTTCAAGGTCATTTAAAGGTCAACTTGCATTTTTTTAATGGGAACCTTTATTTTTTATTACACTATTCTTTTCTACTAGTTAATTTGAACAACTTTTGTCTAAAATATTTTTCTATTTGTCTAATATTTTTTGAGAGATTTGAGGAAAACTCCATAACTTTTTCAATATTTAACTTACGATATCTCGCTAACTATTTGTCGGAAGAAAAAGTGGTACTAGACTTTCTTACTTTATTTAGTCTCAAGAATATATTGTTACTGTAGCGCCTTGACTTTTATTAATTTGGTGATTTTTTGAAATTTCAAAATCATCAAATTAACCAAATTCAGGGCGCTATTGGAACAATATATTCTTGAGACTAAATAGAGCAAAAAGATCTAGTACCACTTTTTCTTCTGACAATTAGCAAGATATCATAAATTAAATATTGAAAAAGTTATCAAGTTTTCCTCAAATATCTCAAAAAATATTAAACAAATAAAAAAATGTTTTAGACAAAAGTTGTTCAAATTAACTAGTAGAAAAAAACAGTGTAATAAAAGTAAGGGTTCCCATTTAAAAAACGCAAGTTGACCTTCAAATGACCTTGAAAATAAAGGTCAAGGTCAAACTTGAAACAAGGAAAACTGAAATATATTCAATGTTTGATGATATAAATTTTGATGATTTGTTTCGAAAGATTACTGTTTATTACATATTATTAAAATTTATATTAAAATTACTGATATTAAAGTGTAACAACTAATATCGTCAACTGTTTTTGTCTTTTATTCGTCTTAATTATTATAATAATTGTGTATTAGAATTTTTTTATATCTCTATATTTTGGGAAATACAGTTTTAAAATTATACAATATCGAAAAATTATATTGTATTTATGGAGCTCCTATTATTAATAACTTTTCAATAAACAATCAGCAACAACTAAAACTTTTTCAAAATATATAATATCTATAATATATATTATGGTCAAGATTATCAGAACTATAACCTCTAAATTACATAGTTACCAATATTCAAGTGAAAGATATAGTTATATCAATTGAGAGAAGAGGAAAAATAATAGTTAATATTATTTTTAAAATGATATCTTATTATATATATTTATATTATAGGGTAGTGCCCTTCATAAACATTTATCAAAATTTGGTTACACAGACTTTGAAAGTATGTCCATACCCAAGAGAACATATTTTGAAGAGGACCATTCTTTAAATATCGTAATTATATTTTGTAATTAATTTCTATCCTTGTTTTTCCTATTATTGTATTTTATTTGATACTATTTATATAATTTATATTTTTTCAGAATGTTAAAAGTATTTTTAAAAAGGTTTACATGAAGCTGTTTTCTTTTTATTCTTGGATAACACAGGTATAATTTTCTTCAAGAATAGTTACATAGTTACACTGTATGTATTGAATATAATTATATTTTATAATTCATCTTTTACAGGAAAAATACATCTCTAGTAATCAATTAAGCATTATTTTTAATGCAGAAGTTCTATTAGATGATCATTCTTCCATGATTAATAATATGCTAATTAAGTGCAGTAATAATTCTAAAAAGTAATTATTATAAAACTTTATTTATTATCTTTACAAAACATTTTTATGCCTATATTTGTCTTTCTTTTCTTTGAATTTGTAAAATATGTAATAAGATTTATAGTAAGAAATTTATAAACATATACAGGATATTTTAAAAAGGGTGGTCTGATTATATGTAATTATATTTTTCTTAACAAGACAAACAAAAAAGTTTGGTTAAACATAACATCTTATAATAATCAATTAATATATCAATAAATCATAAACATTTAGTTAAAAAGTTAATGTCATAAATGCTTAGTTAAAAAGTTAACATCATAAACACATAGTTAAAAAGTTAATGCCAATTCAAGATTAAAAGAATTAATCTTCTATGTAATATTAAATGAAAAAAGTTTTGATGGGTTGGTCAAAGATGTGACAAAGATTCAGTTTTATTACAAAATTTGCAAATATATTAATGTATAATACACTAATAGAGATTACATACTAAAATGAGAAAATAAACTTTTTCCAGTTTTAATAAAATTAATCCATATATTTTTCTTTCACAAAATTTATCAAAACTTATTCAATACATACAATATTTATTCAAGTAAATTTCAAAATTTAAAGAAAAACAAAAATGAAAAGAAATGCTAAAAATACTCACTGCATGAAGCAATGTAATTCTACGAGTCTTTTTACGAGTCTACAAGTCTACTCGTAAGTCTCGCATTATGAATTGCATTGCAGTTCAAATACTCCTGAAGTATTACATTAAGATGCATTCATTCAATGATGCGTTTATACATCATTCAACATACATTCTTTGTAAAAGTTGTTCGTTATTAATTAAAACCGAGTAAATAAATGTTTTCACATGCACAGAAAAAAGTTGAGTATGTCTGAGTATGTATATGCATGTCTATGGATTTAATAATTTAATAAATATATATATTACATTAACACATTGAAATGAAATCATTTAATCGTGACTCGATAATAACTTGTTAACTATCATCGAATATAACAAATGTGTTTTAGACACTATATTTATAATAATTTTTTTGTTTTCTTGATAAGAAAAATATAACTACATACATATATACATATAGTATATATTATATGTATGTGTGTGTATATGTTTGTTCATTTTTCTTTTTAACATCCTGTATGTCAAACTGAATTTTCTATCAATAAATAATTAAAACTACACAAATAACAAATTGAATTATTTTTTGTTTACAGAATAATACTTCAAAACTTAATTGTAAATGGAGTTGTATTGATCTCTTCAGCATATATTTCACAACATAAACATAAGGTATTACCAACATTATGTGCATCATCTATAATCTGTTGTGCTGGTCGCATACAATATCTACGTTTTTATGCCAATAAAGATTTAAAAAATCTTATATCATTACAAAATGATCTCTTTACCATGTGTAAAAAAGGCCTTAAGATCTTACGACATATGTTTAAGATGAAATTGGATTTTAAAACATATGTTCATCAATTTTTGTAAGTTTACAATCTCATAAAAAGTTAAAGATATAAATATTCTATATTGTATACAATACATAAGTTTAGTTGTATAATATACTATTATCCTTTCTTTTTATATTTTTGTATCAGTCATTTTTTAGGAGAAAAATTACAGTATTTACAGCCTTTAACAGAAACTTTACTGAATTTTATGGAAAACATTTCATTTATATATCATGAATGTTCTTCATTGATTGAGAAATTAATGCCATTAGACATACTTAACAAAGAATTATTTACAAAATTTGAATATGATATGTTTTGGACATTTGGTGAAATTAACCATCAAATATTAAAGGTAAATAAATAATATATTATTATACTTCCAAATATACATGTTTGTAAAATTTTTTTATTTTTAATATATTTTACATTAAATATTTTATATACTATATGTATTTTATATTTACTTAATATATTTATTATTTAATGTATTTTCATATCTTACAGAAATCATATCATACTTATATTTTAGTACAATCGGAAATGTTACATTTATTAGCTATTGCATATGACAGAAGTACTTGGATAAACTCTTGCCAAACAATTCCTGAAACAGAAATGGCTCATATAATTCACATTTTAACTGGACAATTGGTAGTATATAAAATTAAATTGTCGAAAATTCTTAATGATTATGACACTTGTAAAGCAGAACCTGTTCGATATAAGTAAGTTAAGACATATATATTTAAGTTCATATTATGAATAATATATTACATAAGATCTTTTTTCTTTTATTAGAATACGCGGCATGAGTAAATGGCATAATCCGTCTGTTCAATTGGACTTGGCGTCTCATAAACTACAATTGGTCTATAATGAAATGTTTTCAATATTTAAAAACATTGACGACTGCATCAATCAAGAGAATGATATCAATAGTGAAACAGCTGAGTTATTGATGCAAAAATTGGACAAAGCATCAAAAGAATTTATCATAACTAAAACTTTAGCAGAATTTATCATTTTATTGATAGCAAGATCAGGATTTAATAATCTGAAGGGCAATCAATCTGTAATCAATAATGTTAAGATAAATGAGAATTCTACTTTACCTATAATTTCCAATTCAGATCCAGAGATTCTCGATGAAGTATTTGAAGAATATATTAAGGAAGAATATTTAAGGCCTTTGCATGAAGAAGATGATGAATATTCATTAGAACAATATACATTAAATAATTTCTTGATGAAAAACTTTATGAGCGAATTGAAAGAGGCTTTAGTGGATAAAAGAAAATCTATGTCCGAACGAGAAACCAGAGCATTACAACGCATATATAAAAATGTATCGGAAAATACTACGCTGAATAATGAAAATAATATAAATAAAGATGACCAATTTATACCAGTTGCGCCATCAATGCCTGCTTATAGTCTATGGTCAACATCATCAAGCAATATTACACTTAATGCACATCATAAGGAAATAGCTTCTTCTAATTGTAAGATTATAAGCAATAGCTTACCTATTCAAAAAGAAATTACAAATAAATTAAATAAAGAATGTAATCCTGTGAAGACATTAAGATGCAACAGCATTTCCAATAAATCATCTACTGGAAGTTACGAAGAAAAAGATGAATCTCTTTCATATTTGCCACAGATTCTTCTTGAAACTCAGGCTGCGCAATATGTCGTGAAACTACCATCTGCCTTTGTGCAAGAGGAAACATTTATAGGAAGTGGTGAAAATTCTGAAGACGAAATTGTTAATAATACAAGTGATGATGAAAATAATACAAATGATAATGAAAATAATACAAATTCTCAATAATAAAAATATAAATTGCATTAGTTATTCAGACGTTTTCAATATCCTTATTTGTATATTTAATTATAGCTAAAATCCTGCAACATGTATGTCTTAGAGATTCTCTTTTCAAACCACGTCTATTTTAAATAACGTTAGAAACGAGGATTTCTATACTAAAATTTCTTACCAATTGCATTGAAAATTTCCCCTGCTCCAACATACTTTGGAAATTTATTTTTGTCAAAACAATAAATAAAAATTAACATGACAAAACTAAAAATTGATTAACCCTTTAAGGACCGAAAAGCCATTTTTTGTGCTTTACTTTCAGCCCAATAGCTTTCGATGTATTCGGCCTAGAAAAAAAATACTGATACCATTTCCGAAAAAAAAAAGTCTGCTCTTTCGAGTGGCACCATCAGAATTTACTTACGATGCGAAGGTGAGAGGTCATAGCGGGTTTTTTAAAACAAAAGCCAAATTTTCACGATTCTGTTTTGAAAATCCGCTTTTTCAAACGAGAAAACGTTTTGCTAGAGCATTGCGACTACGCTAAAAGGAGCATGGATGTCTATTGTCATAAAGCGTATTGGAGTTTTTTTCAACTCCAATATGGCAGCTTCAAGATGGCGCCTCATGGTTTGATATTTTTGAATAACTTATTTGCATGACGTTTTTTGAAAAACTTTAAATACAAAAGTTGTAGAAAATGAAAAAAGGCATTCAATGATCATCTTGAGTTTGACCTTCAACTTGACCTCAGTCATTTCAAGGTCAAGTTGATTTTTTTTTTAATAGAAACCCATATTTTTTGCTGCAGAAATAAAAACTGCGGAAAATTTTACGTTGAACTATGTAAATAGTTATAACTTATGGGTTTCAATGAACCTTAGGGGTTGCCATTCAAAAACAATATTATTACTACACATATATATTCTCTTATACGCTCTTCAGCCGTCAAGGTTTTAATTCCTTTGCCGTATGAATATAAATAAATAATATATATACGTATATACACAAATGTCGTTTACACAAAATATCCTCAGCACGGAATGAACGCGATACTGATATTACTGAGACGATATTTTTGCCCATCAGTATCATCAAAGTCAATTATAGATTTTCCATAATAAAAATGTTGTATTCTAATATATTATTGTATTACTCTGAATACTTTTATTATTCTGCATGACTAGCACTCTCAAAGTAGTACATAAATACATATGTATATGTATATAAGACACCCAAAAACATATGAATATAGGATTGTAAAAAAAAAACAACTCAAGAACTCAATTTGTTAAGAAAACATAGCATCTTCATAATTTTTTATCTTTATATGTTGTGAGGTTGTGCACGTCATAACATATAGAGATAAAAAATTATAAAGCTGCTATGTTTCCTTACCAAATAGAGTTCTTGAATTGTTTTTTTTTTTACAATCCTGTATTCATATGTTTTTGAGTGTCTTATACACATATACATATGTATTTATGTACTACTTTGAGAGTGCTAGTCATGCAGAATAATAAAAAATATTCAGAGTAATATTATGAAAATTATATAATATTATATAATATTATTAATTATATAATATTATGGAAAATCTATAGTTGACTTCGATGATACTGATGGGCAAGAATATCGTCTCAGTAATATCAATATCGCGTTCATTCCGTGCTGAGGATACTTTATGTAAACGTCTCTTATGTATACAGGGTGTCCCATTTTAAGTGTCCACCACAAATATTTCTCTTATTTTTGATTAGAGAAAAATGGTTCAGACACGTTTTATATGGTTTTGAGGGGGCCATAAGAAGGTACCATTGATTTGACTTTCAAGAGTCATTTGAAGGTCATGTGAAGGTTACCTCAATTTTTTTAGATGGCATTCTATTTTTTATTACATATTCTTATAGCTGGCCACGAGAGCTTCCCAAAACACTATAACCAAATGTTTTTTGGTGAAGTACTTTTCGAGTTATAAAGCTCCAAATTTACAAAATTTTGATAAAAATACAAGATATTTCATGAAACATTCACTTTTCGATAGTCTTATCTTACATGATCCAACCAGTCATGGCAAGATCCGAGCATGATCCAGCCAGTCAAGACAAGATCCGAGCATGATCCAGCCAGTCAAGGCAAGATCCGAGCATGATCCAGCCAGTCAAGACGAGATCCTGTATTGCCTGATAATCAATGAACTGTAACAATTGTGAAAGTGCAGTTGTCAATTCTTTTAATGAAACAAATATCAAGAGGCTTGTTTCAAATTTCTTACTTGGGCAACTGTCGGTATTTTGGCGAAGTCTCAGACAGACGCATATTATCCATTGACTTTTTTTGATAAGACAGAAATTTTTGGTTTTTTGGCGCTTTTTTTCTTTATAATTATGGCTGCTTATCCACCAAATGAAATTGTGGACATAATTCGCATTTTGGGTGAGGCCAGGAATAATTACTCGGCAGCAGAAAGGCTTTATGCTGAAAGATTTCCAGATAGACGCCATCCTGATAGGAAAGTAATAAAAAGACTCTGCGACAGAGCTGAACAGGGTTTTCTTAGAAGAAACCGGCGAAAATCGGGCCCTGATGAAGTCACATCATTGACTGTTATAGGTGCCGTTGCTTTGAATTCTCAAATCTCTACGAGACAAATTGAGAGGCAATACGGTATATCTAAATCAACAGCCAATCGTGTGCTCAAGCTCAACAAGTTTCACCCATATCACATTCATGTAACTCAACAATTGGAAGAGAGGGACTACCAACGCCGTGTACGTTTTTGTAACTGGGCTCGAGATCAAATCTAACAAAATCCCCGGTTCATTGCTGATACGCTGTTTTCTTATGAAGCCACGTTTTGTAATAGAGGAGGCGTTAATAGACATAACTGCCATTATTATTCAGATGCTTATCCACATTGGCAGAGAAGCCAAGAGTTCCAACGGCAGTGGTCCATTAACGTTTGGGCAGGCATCCTGGGAGATGTTATTGTTGGTCCATATCTTTTTGAAGAAAATCTCAATGCGGCAATCTATCTAAGATTTCTTCAAGATGACCTACCCAACCTCTTGAGACATGTCGACAATGATTTACTCAGACGAATGTGGTTCCAACAAGATGGAGCACCGGCTCATAGATCTCGAGCTGTTACACGATATATAAACAATAGATTCCCGAATAGGTGGATTGGTATGGGCAGCCAAGTTCAAGAATGGCCCCCAAGATCACCCGACTTGACACCCCTAGATTTTTATTTCTGAGGCTACATTAGAGATATAGTTTATTCGCAAAAGCCTACAACCGTTGAAAATATGAAAAACCGGATCAGACAGGCTTGCAGAAATATTAATGTAGGTGTTCTTGAAAAAGTTAGGGATGACTTTCACCATAGACTAGAGCTATGCATACAAGTAAATGGCCAAGTTTTTGAACACTTTAAGTAGTTGTACACAAAAGAAAATTTTGCCTTGACTGGTTAGATCATGCTCGGATCTTGCCTTGACTGGCTGGATCATGCTCGGATCTTGCCTTGACTGGTTGGATCATGCTCGGATCTTGCCTTGATTGGTTGGATCATGTAAGATAAGACTGTCGGAAAGTGAATGTTTAACGAAATATTTTGTATTTTTATCAAAGTTTTGTAAATTTGGAGCTCTATAACTCGAAAAGTACTTCACCAAAAAACATTTGGTTATAGTGTTTTGGGAAGCTCTCGAGGTCAGCTACAAGAATATGTAATAAAAAATGCCATCTAAAAAAACTGAGGTAACCTTCACGTGACCTTCAAATGACTCTTGAAGGTCAAATCAATGGTACCTTCTTATGGCCCCCTTGAAACTATACAAAACGTTTTTGAACCATTTTTCTCTAAAATCGAAAATAAGAGAGATATGTGGGGTGGACACTTAAAATAGGACACCCTGTATACGTATATATATTGTTACGTCCCTGGATTCTCAACCCCTGAATGTCATCGCTAGGAGGGTTGTTTATAAACAACCTGTATTTCTGTTGTTTTCCTGACACCATGTCAGATTTGGTTTGGCTTCCGCAACGAGCGAATGCATTCGAGACTGTTCTTGAATTAATGTTTCTCGGGCAATTCTATTTTGTTTGACTGCCTTATTTCATTGTATTAATAAATTTCCTTTACTTTCTAAGTCGACTGATTCATTTCGGGTGTGAGTAAGTGAGTGAGTGATAGTGAGATCTCGCAAAAGCTGCCCGAGGACGTAACAATATTATTTATTTATATTTAGACGGCAAAATAATTAAAACCTTGACGGCTGAAGAGCGTATAAGAGAATATGTATGTGTAGAAATAATATTGTTTTTGAATGGCAGCCCCTAGGGTTCATTGAAACCCATAAGTTATTGGGTGAGTGCAAACGTTCGTGCGGAGTTTCAATAGATGGAGTTATAAGCGTCGTAAAGTGTTGTCATTAATACTTCCATCTACATATTATATAACGTTGGAAAGGTGACGTCTTCAGCTGTTATTAAAAAAAAATCATTTGTTTTCATACAAACTGCTTCGAGAAATATCACTTTAAAAATGAGTATCGATAAGGTGCATTTACGGCATGTTATGCTTTACGAGTTTCGGAAGGGAATAAACGTTGCCGCAGCCGTAAAAAACATTCAGGATGTTTATCAGGATGAAGTACCAGCTAAACGAACTGTGGAAAAATGGTTTGCTAAATTTCGGCGCGGAGAATTTAACCTTGAAGACGAGCCACGCTTTGGTCGACCTTCTGACATTGATGACGATGTTTTGCGTACTTTAGTGCTCAATAATCCGCGAATTTCAACAGAAGAAGTTGCTACAGCACTAAACGTTGACCGATCAACCGCTTTTCGGCGTTTAAAAAAGATGGGATTCGATTTGAAGCTCGATATATGGGTGCCCCATTTGCTGACCGAGAAGAACAAAATCAAGCGAATTTCTGCAGCCGTTTCTTTACTCGGGCGGCTCAATAACGAGTCGTTTTTGGATCGACTAGTGACGGGCGATGAGAAATGGGTCC